GTACTAGCGACTCACATAAAGTGAACTCTTGATTCCCACAAGCTTATGAGGTAGTCATTCCATGTTACAGGTGAGAAAAGTGAGGGCCAGATTAGTGATGTAATCATTTGTAGCAGCTGGAGGTCACCCAGCTCTTAAGTCCAAGAGGTGGGACCTAAACCAAGGTCTGTCTGACTCCAGTGTCTATATTATTTCCATGATGATACTCTGCTCTTTTACTGAACAACACATAGCACAGAATTCTGTAGGTAGATGCAATCGTTGGAAATATCCATCCTAGGTCCTGCCACTCTTCTGCAGATTAGAAAAGTAGGAACCAGAGATGAGCAATGGCAGTGCTAGAACTTCAAGCCAGACTTCCTGACTTTTGGCCCAGGGATATTCCTTTTGTGTCATTTTCTCTGTGTCACTTTCTCTGGTACTAGCATGTTCTCATTCTTCTGTGTATTTTTTTTTTTCTGGATGATGAGTGTGTTTAGCTTTTGCTCTTAATTTGATATAACATCTTGGAATTGCATGGTGCTAATTAAAGCAATAACTCAAGAAGAAAAGGCAATAAAAGTCATCACAAGTGTAGGTATTACATTTATTTACCATATGCATTATATTTCTTTTTTCTTCACTTAAAGGACTGACTGAAATATGGGGAATTCCTTGGGCTAGTCTACATAAAATTGAGTCCCAACTGTTAATTAATGCAATGTATGTTCTTCTACTGAATTTCAAATGAGATTAATTTTATTCAGAGAAAGGAGTATAACTACCAAGAGAAATCTTTATCTCCTTGGTATCAGCAAGCCTAAAACCAAATTACAGGCCAAGAGCATCAGGAATGAGAAGAGACCTTCATCCTCACCTAATCTAAACCCTACGTAACACTCAAGGCCTCTCTCCTACATCTCTTCTGAACGGCCCCTCGACCTGTCTGAACAACGCTGGTGAGGACGACGCAAGTTATATCCTCTGGAGGGTACTAGAATTAGACTAGGTCATTCAACGAACACTTGTTAAGCACTCCCTACACACAAGTATTCATTACTCCCCAAGTAAAGAAAAGAATCCGGTGTGAAATGGGATATAGGGCTTTTGTGTATGAGATTAAAGTCAGAGAGGAATGAACTAAACAATCCAGGTCACCTGGACCTGGTGCCATTCTGCTGTAAACTCAAGCGGGCAGACAGCCTCAAGTAGCCTGGCTCAGTGACTCCAAATCTGTGATAAGAGGTAAGTGAGGTCACCACCACAGGCAACGTCCTGTGCTCCTCACTGCCAAGGAGCCAGGCACTTTTAGGCTCTGATCATCTCATTTTCCCATATATGTGTGGGGCAAGTTTTTCAAAAATCAGCTGTTCCACGGGAAATCTGGAAGGGGGAGATGGAGTCCACAAACCTGAAAACGAGGCTCTACCTACGTGTGAATAAAATGAACAGTAAGAAGCAATAAGAGCGTACACTCTGTGGTGCAGGTCAACTGAGTGAAAGGAGCAGTAAGACCAGTCAGAATTTGGAGGAGGGTGGTGCAACTGCCAGGCAGCTAAAGGGACCCTGACTAGGTACGGTTCAATCTGGGTGATGAACAGGAGGAAAGGAACTCCAGTAAGGATCAGAACAAAGACAATGACCAGATATGGAAGGAAAGAGGCTGAAAGTTCCTATGGGAGAGGCCTAGTGAGACTGAAGTTAGGGAAGCAGGCTGAAGTAAAGTGGTGACAGGCTTTGAACAGCAGACAGTTTCTCTGGAGGAACCTGGTGGGAAAGTGGAGATTTAGAGAGATCAAGACAGCCAGAGAAGGACAAGAAGCCACTTGGTTGGCAGGATGGCTACCTATGGTATACCTGCCCTTGAGGATGGTTTACTACATGCATCACTAGAAGATAAGCTCTGTGAGGGCAGGGATTTCTGTCATCACAGACAGCCTGGAATTCCCAGGGCTGGCACATAAGAGTCACTCAATCACTATTAGTCCAATGAATAAATCAGGGATGGACGGTAACACCTCAGTCCAAGTGAGCCTGACATGAGCTCAACTGCAGTTGGTTAAGGGCAGGTGTTTGGGACTGGAAGAGCGTAAGAGTCATCCCTCATCAGTTTCCAGTGAGTCAGCACTCTGCGCTCCAAAGCACATGTAAGAAGGTGCAGGGCTAGCAGCATTTCCCCACTAAAAAATTATGTGGATCCAGGTATCCCTATCTAAAATTTCGCACTGCAGTTCAAAACCATCTTGTTCTCCTGGCTCTTATTTCACATTATTCCTTAACTGAAGGCATATCCACCAGGAATGAAAACCAATACTAACCACTCTGAAAGGTTTTTTTCAAAAGCCGAGCTCTCACAAAGAAAGAAACCCTTTACCTTCCTGGGAAACTCCTATTCATTCTTCAAAACCCACCTCTTTAGCAAGTCTTCCCTGATGGCCCCTCCTTAGGCTGGTACTTCTGTACACTGCATATACTTCTGCTCTTCCACTGATGTCACAATCTAATTTTTAAATATCCTCTACCAGACTATGAATTACAGGGAAAAAAGGGACTGTTTCTTATTCATCTGTATTTCAGGGCTCAGCATGCTGCTTGACAGACTGACCTCAAAAGAAACCAATTTTCATCCTACTATTTTAAGTTAAATTCTACCCCTCAGCTCCAAGTCATTGGCAAAGGTTCCCGCAGCTCAGAGCAAGAGTAGAAAAGGACTAGGGTACTGCTGGCAGAAGGCAGTGGGGGCTCTAGGCTTGGGGAGAGGAGTCCAGGTCAGGAAGAGTTCCCAGCTGCAGTGGGTACTACAGTCTCCTCTACAGAAGAGAGTTCCAGAATACCTGAGGGAGCTGGCAGTTCTAGAGCCCAGCCCAACCATAACAGACTGCTATTCCTTTTCAGTGGGTTCATGTAAACATATGGCACAATTTTAACCTATCAAATAAGTGGTGGTATCTTTCTCCATCCCTCCTAAAAGGAAACAAAGAAAAAGAGCTGATGTCCAGGAAGTGAATTTTTTCCTCAGTATCTGATACCAATGTAGTAAATGGCTAACGAGCAACTCCTCTCATGGAGGCCCAGGGGTTCCCAGGGAGATCAATGCTCACATAATACCTTGTGGGCTGGGTGTAAGGGACAAGAGCCTCAAGGCTAAGTTCAAACAAAAAGACTTCCTAAGAGTTCTTGGGCTAAGATTTTATCTACTCGACTTCCATAAATCTATGGTCATTATCTTTTAATTCCCCCTCAACTGTCATTCAGTTGACAACATTCAGTTTGACAAACATTTTCTTGAGTGTCAACTATGCAGAGGGGAACCTGCTAAGTTGTGAGGAGCATGGAGATACCTCTCAGGTCACTTACAACTGACGAGAGGGGTTAAAACATAGTGCACATAATTGTCACCAGGAAAAGGATAAAAAGGGATTCAGAAGGGAAAGATTAATCCAGATGAAAGAAGTCTTGTGGGTGAGACAGAGCTTAGACTGGACTTTGAAAGATGGACAGAATCAATAGACAGAGATTAAATCAAGGCCCCATCCCCACCCAACCCAAAGATGAGAGCTCTTCTTGGTGGAAGGAATTCCACAACCAAAGGCACAGAAGAGCAAACATACAGAGAACGTTAAGGGAACAGCAAGTGGCTGTGAACAGAATTTGAGATACTTGTATCAGAAGCACATAGATCAAGCACATACTGAGCCCTGAAAAAATGTTGAAAGTACTGGGATAGGTGAGGGAGAAGTCTGAATGGGTTATGGTCGAACTAGACAACAACAGAGTTTTCTTGTGTTTTAGAAAAGTTCAGCTAATTGTACTTACATAAAAGAGCAAATGGAAAAGAGACCAAAGTCTGGGGAAGACGTAATAAAACTTTGGAATTTTAGATCAATTAATCTAATTTCTTGACTTTACAAATGAGTTAAAAGATGCCCAAAGAGGTTAAATGATGGACTCAAAGGAATACAAACTGCTAGTGTCTGAACTAAGACAGTGGTGGTGTAAAGAGAGTATAGGACAGCTTCTTGAGAAACTATTTCCCTACTCACTTTCTATTTTTTTTTCTCAAGCACCTTACTGAGTGGTGCACCATCTATATTACCTGGGACATATTTTGACAGCTACTGTGCTAAAACCACAAGGATGTCAACATGCGAAAGCCTCCTGGTTGTTTCTTTTCACTTTTCATTGAGGGTTCTGACCCGTCAATGCTACCAGATAGCCATTCCCAAAGCAGCAGATTTCTCAGAGCGTACCTGAAGCCCAATTAACACACCTGGCCCCACTTTGTATCAACGATGCCGAATCTCGCCATAGCGGTCCCTTGCCTCTGTTAATGCCAAACCTGCCTGTCTCCTCTGTCCAACTGAAGGCTCAATAAATAACCGCTAAGGTCTCTCCGAGAGCTACAGCACTGTTATCCTCTCTGGACAGTCGTGAAAAGCTGTAACCCTTCCCCAAATGACATGGAACTGTATCTTTTGGTCCAAAGGAGCTCCAAATTAGGGTTCTTTTTCTGAGGAGACTAGACATAACTGTAACAAGTGTCAAGAGACTCCAATTGCAGAGGTCAGGCATTCCTGAGGATCCTCGGGGCTTCCGTCTTAAAGCATATATCCTGAACCATTCTCAGCGTCCGTCCCAGTCCGGTCGCGGACCGAAAGCGCACCGAGGGCCGGGCACAGCCGACCCACAGCCGAGGCGGCGGTCCTGGCGTGCTGAAGGGGCGGAGAACTAGGTCCAGAGCGTCACACCGAGTAACTGAGGAGCCTCGGTAGGAACCGTGGATAGCCCTGGGCAGAAGTCGGGAAGCGAGTCTCGACGAAACAGCGAGTGCTAGCCCGGAGCGAGGAAGGGAGATGGTCTGCAGGCGCGGGGTAGGGTGGGAGTATGCTAGGCTAAGGAAAGCCAGCGGAGACCTCTCCTGGCCTCACCAGACCCCGCAACAGGGCCCGGAGAGAAGATGGACGCGCGGGGGGGGGGGCGGTCACGCGCTGGCAGACGACGGAGATACAAGGCGCACTCACCTTCTTCACGGCTGGCTGAAAGTGGAAGTCACCGGCCTCTTTCAGGTCCAGCCAGATCATGGGCATGCGGGGAACAGCCTCCATGGCGGCTGGCACCCGCCGGCCAGCCGGCCGCTCCCCTAGCTTTCCCAGCTGCTGCCTCAGACGGGCGCCGCACTCCGCCCCTCCGCGCCGGAAGTTACTGATCACGCGGGGTTAAAAAAATGCCCCCACGGCCTGCTGGGAGATGCAGTCCCCACCCACGCAGCCTTTTGCGCAGGCTCAACTTCTATTGCGCATACTCAGTCTCCTCCGCAGGGAGGGAGTAGAGGGCAAATCTCCAGCTCGAGACGAAAGGGTTTCTGGGAATAGTAGTCTTCCTATACTTAACGCCCAGCAGTGCACTAACTAGTTTCCTCCTCCTAGGCAAAGTTGACCTGCCGGTTCTGGTTCCGGCCTGCGGCCATTCCCACTCAGGGGAAGGGTATTAGAGAATCTTGCCACAGACTTGTAGACCCAAGTAGTGTCGAGGGCTATGGATGACGGGGGCAGGTGCTATGGTAGAGATAACGCGGCCGGCGGGCCGCCCAGAAGAGATGATATAAAGACAGAGTCCCTGACGTAGGGGCCGCCTGGCCAAGACAGAGATAGGACTAAGAAGAGAGAAAGGGGTTTTGTCCCATGTGTTGAGCTGTGGAACAGAGGAGTGACTAGTCGGAGACTGGCACACTGGGTCCAACCTGTTCGGCCGGGCACTGCCTAAGAGACTGACTGGCACGTCCATTTGTGTTGATGGGGAAAGAACGCCTAGGTAGAATGTAAGGTGAAAAAAAGAGGCCCAGAGCAACGTGGATAGATGGAGTGGGAATGAATATATACTGCCACGTGAGTACCTTGGAGGCTGTCTGGAAGAGGACCACGGAACAGAGAACAGTTACTGCCTCTGGAAAGGTGACCTGTAGAGCAGAGATTTTTAAATCATGCATATACTACCTAGCTGTAGAAATAAATAAGATGGAGAATGGTTTGTTAGATAGGAAGGCAAAAGTGGAAGCAAGGAACTAGTGTGGAGCCTTTTTTTTTTTTTTTTGGTAGTCTTCCAGGAGACATATGATGTCGAGTTGGCATGGAGAGGGGGGCGGGGGAGGTAAAATGTGGGCAGATTTGAGAAATGTTTTGGGGAAAAAAGTGTCCAAATGTCAAATATGATTTACAGGTTTCTAGCTGGTATAGCTAGGTGGCTGCATGGCTGTTTACTGATATGGAAAACAAGGGGAGGAACAGGTTTGGAAGGGAAGAGTGAAGGTTCAGGACTGTGTTAAGCTGCATATAGATGCCCCTGAGGCATTCAGGAGCAGACGTGGAGGAGATCATGGGGTATGGGATCTGGGCTCAGAAGAGAGTGTTCACCCACAACCAAGGACCTAGCTTCCCTTCACACCTACCTTCATGCCAGTTTAAGTTAGAGCAGAAGAAAATGCAAGTGCACCGACATTTGTAGTAGCATTATTTACAGTAACCCGAAGGTGGAAATAAACTATCCATCAACAGATGAATGGATAAACAAAATTTGGTATAACATACACTGGACTATTACTCAGCCTTAAAAGGGAAGGAAATTTGATACATGCTACAACAAAAATGAACCTTGAAGACATGATGCTAAGTGAAATAAGTGAGACACAGAAGGACAAATATTGTGTGATTCCACTTAAATGCAGTAACTAAGAGTAGTTAAATTTATAAAAATAAAAAGTAGAGTGGTGATTGCTCAGAGACAGAGGAGGAGGAATGGGGAATTAGTATTTAATGGGTACAGATGAAAAAGTTCTAGAGGTGAAGGGTGGTGATGGTTGCACAAAAATGTGAATGTACTTAATGCCACTGAACTGGACACTTTAAAATGGGTAAAATGGTAAACTTTACGTTGGGTATATTTTACCACAATAAAAAAATTTTTAAGAAAATGCAAGACCCTGTAGATAACTTTTTAAGGAAAAAAAAATTTATCAGCATCTTAAAAGAGCTTGTTTCAGGAGGACCATCTTAGGGTCACCTGCTCAGAGGTGGAAGAATTGAGGATAAGACCACAAGTCTGTCAGCAGGGTTGCTTTCTTCTGAGACCTCACTTCTTGGTTTGTAGATAGTTACCTTCTACCTGTGTCTTCAGAAGGTCTTCTGTGCGTGTCTGTGTCCTAATCTCCTCTTATAAGGACACCAGTCATATTGGATTAGGGCCTACCCTCATGACCTCATGTTAATCAATTATCTCTTTAAAGACTCCATTTCCAAATACAGTCACATTCTGAGGTACTGGGAGTTAGTACTTCAACATGAAATTTGGCCCCTGACACACAGTCTCAGTGACATGAGGGCAATTGGTGTGTGAGGCATCAAAGACCAAGAGCCCCTGTGAGGAGCCCTAGAATGTGAAGGCAATGAGTGAGGATGGGTCAGTGGAGGTAAAACAGCAGAAAGAATATCTCTGGGGCAACAGGTGCCCTCCTAACGCATCTGTTTCCTCACAGAGGCAGAGTTGGAAGTTTGGGGAAGTCTAAGACTCAACAGTACTGGGGAAGGGTAGGCCCCGTCACAAGGGGGCAGCAAACACCGCATTCAGCTGGGTCAGTTCATCCGTCTCTCAAGACTACTCTCCTGTCAGAATTGGAAGGGCCTCAGAAACACACAGACATCCTCCTCCATTTTACAATGTAGGAACTGACGCCTGAATTGGGGAGTGGACCACTTAAGTCTCCCAGCAAGTGAATGGAAGAGTCCGGGCTAGGCCTGGGTCTCCTCCCTTCCAGTTCATTTATTCAGCTACTATTTATTCAGCACCCACAGTGCTGTATGCACTGTTTTAGACGCTACTGAGTAAAACAGGCGAAGATCTCTGCCCTCATGAGGTCACAATCTAGTGAGGGGAGACAGACAGGAACACAACAAAGACTATACAGTATATAAGATGGCAGTAACTACTGTGGTAAGAAGAAAAAGAGAAAGGAGGTGGGAGTATGAGGAGGGGGACTTTTACAATGTTTTCCCTTTTATATTGGGTGATCACTGAAGGCTTCACTGGGAAGATACTGTTTGAGCAGAGATCTGAAGGACGTGAAGGAGCAAGCCAGGGACACAGCTAGGGGAAGAGTGTTCTAGAAAAAGAGACTAACAGATGCAAAGGCCCTGAGCCAAGACTGTGCCTGGCATGCCTGAAGGTCAGCAAGGAGGCCAGAGTGGCTGAGGCTGAGCAAGCGTGGAAAAGAGCAGGAGAGGGTCAGAGAGGCAGTGGGTCAGGGTTGCAGATGGAGTAGGGCCTCAAAGACTGTAATGAGGATTCAAGCTTTTCCTTGAATGTCCGGGGGAACCATGGGAGGATTTGGAACAGAGGAGGAATATTATCTGATGTAAGTTTAAGGGTTATACTGGTTTCTGTGGGATGGACTGTGGAGGTGGGTGGTGACTAGGAGGAAGGGCCCATAGCCAGGGTTGTGGATTCCCAGGACGCTGTTCTGGATGCTACAGAGAGGAGGGTGGAGACAAGAGAACTACACCACTCAGATCCTCCTTCAGGGTCTTCTTAGGGGGTCTGGGATTTGGACACACACAGGAAACATGTGAGGGGGGCTTGAAAAAATAATATACCACAGGGGCAGAATCAGGGTGGGGTTTGGTGGGATTAGGCCAGCCAAAGAGGCCAAATCATCTCTATAGAATGGGATGGGGAGAGTGTGAACCAGACGGGATTTACTGCCTAATGGGGTTGGTGAGGAGAGAAGGTTTCCCGGGAGAACAGAGGTGACCCATAGACTCAGTGCAGTTCCCGACAAATTCCCAATTTTGTGTGTGTGGAAGTTGACAAGGTGTTTCTCAAATTTATATGGGAAACCAAAGGCCTTAGAAGTCTTAAAGAAGAGAAACAAAATGAGAAGCCCTGTTCCCCCAGATGTCTAGTCCTATTAGAAAGCTGAATAATTCAAACAATGTAGGTATTTGCTCAAGAACACAACATTAGCCATCAGAACCAAACAGAGAACCCGGAAACAGACTCAAGACTTTCACATCCACTGAATGGACTCTAGAGGTAGTGCTGTGGGCCATTGAGGAAAGGGGCTACTAGGGAATACATGATGCAGGTCAGCTGGTCATCCAGATGAAAAAAATTAAACTGAAGTCTGTTATGGGTTGAACTGTATCCCCAAAAAGATACATTAAAGCCTACCTCCACCCCTCCCCCGGGGTATCTGTGAACATGACCTTATTTGGAAATAGGGTCTTTGCAGATGTAATCAAATTAAGATGAGGTCCTCCTGAATTAGGGTGTCTTTAAAAGAAGAAATTCTGCCTCGGGGTGGCAACATTTACTCATGCCTGAGTCTCTGGCCTGCCAGCCTGCCCTACAGACTTTGGATTTGCCAAACCCCACAATCACATGAGCCAGTTCCTTAAAATAATTCTGTCTATCTGTGTATTTGTCTATCTATCAACTATCTATCTGTCTCCTCTGTTTCTCTGGAAAACCCTGACTGATACAGAGCCTACTCCGCACCTTGCCTTCAGGAGCGTTTGAAGTCAGGAAAGTGGTCATCCTTGTGGGCTGGAGGAGAGAAGTGGTTGGAAGTGGGGGACAGAGGAAGAGCTTGGATTTGATAAAAATTCTGTCTCTTGATCAATCAGGCTGCTGGTTATAGGAGCTGGTTTACTTCCTCCTGTAAGAGGTAAACAAACCAAGCTGTACACTTCTCTTTTGAGCATTTTTTGGTATATATGTTACAGTTTAATAAAAAAGTTAACATAAAAAGTTAATTCCACAAGCTTTGCACAGTGGCAGTATCATAGTCAGTGAGGTTTATCCAAGGCACAATTATTGCTAATTGAAAACTTTTCCCAATACCCTGCCATGACGACTTGAAATATAGCCAGCATTGGCAGTTAATTCCAGGTATATTAAGGAGTGAAATGAGAAATGCAAATATATATAACTTTTAAAAAGCAGATACAGGAGAATATCTTTACAAAGTTGAGTAGGGGAGGATTTCTTAAACAAACTATAAAAAGCACTAGCTGTAAAGGAAGATCAATTAAGTTAAACTTCATTTGAGTTAAGAAATTCTGTTGCACAAAAGACATCATAAAACACAGGAACCAACTTAAAAGGCTTCACTTGCCAAATCTGGGACAATTTGAGCATCAAAATAAAATAAGG